TGACCAGAGCCAGCGTGGTAACCCCACATGCAGGGGACACTCTAGTCCTGCTCCACTCCTCTGCCATTGTCCAGTTCTGCAACCCCTAGATACCAACCCTAGGCCAGTCAAGGATAAAGTCTTTCTTTATCAGTCTCTCTCCTGTCCCAAATCCTGACATTCCGTGGAGCTGTTCTGACATGAGCAGTCACTATCATCTTGGGGAGACCCTAGGAATGAAATTACTACTTTCCAGAAACTATTGCCAATGACTAGTTGGGCCAGGAAGTTCATTTGGGACAAATTAATGTAATTCCAAAATGATAACAGCTGGGTTCCTGCATCCCAGGCAGACTAACCTCTGGGGCTATAGATCTACTCACGGATTGGGGATCCCTGAGGATACCAGACACCCTCTCCTTCTCGGGGGCCTCTGACTTCCTGTCCAAGAGGGATTTCAGATTCTCCTCTTGACCTTGCCCCCAGGGAATGGCAGATAGGAAGCACAGAACCACACTCTACTTCCTCCAAGGGGCATCCTCCTTTCCATCACGGTGCGGGTGATGGGCTTGCCCACAGATCATGGAAATGACAGAAGAGGCCCCCGAGGAGCTCCCAGGGGAAGGGTTTTTCTGTCCTCCACTCTGTTCACTCAGTTCCCTGGAGTCCATCCATTTCCAGTCTCGAGAGGTGCCTCATGGAGGCAGTGTCCAGTGGTCCATAAGTTGGGAAAGTGGGAACCCGAACCCCCTTGTTGGAAGTCCTCTACCCACATTTGCGTTTTTGACCCTCTCAGCTACAGGCAGGAAAGAGCTCTCTCAACCCCCGTGTAACTCAAACTCCCCTAGACTTACCAGCCACTGTCTACTCTGCGCAGCCCGTGACTGTTGTCCCAGGAATTAGCATCCTGAGGGGCACTGCACGGACCAGGCTGTCCCTCCCAGGCTCTCGGCCTCTGTCCTTTGGCCTCTTGGGACTCTTCCAGCTGAGGCAGCTCCCAGGGAGAGCCTGAGAGGCCCGGCCTGGGAGTGGGGATGCCTCCTCATCAGCCTCCCTCCGGCCTGGTGGAAGGGGAGACTCTCCTACCTCGGAGGAAGCCCCTCCGCGGAGACTCAGCTGCTCCCAAGAGCTGATATGGGCCCGGAAGCCTGATGTGGCCTCAGGGTTTCTGGCCCTGAGATTTGGGCTTAATGCATTCTGCGAGCGCCCCTGTGAGTCATTAAAATGCCTTTAGCCTAAGGGTGGGAGGCGCAGAAGTGGCTCTCACACTTGATCAGAAGCCTTGGAAATGATTTACGGAGCCACTAACTGATCCTGGGAATAACTGTTCACCTTTTCCTTCCCTCCCAGGTGAACCTGGAGCTCCAGGGAGGATCGTGACCTCAGGTGGGCAGGCCCGGGAGGGTGGTCCTCCACATGTCCTGGGCATCTGCCCTGGCTCTGACTTGGCACCCGCAGGCAGCGCCAGGCGGGGCTTCTGGCAGCTGGGGGGAGGGCTCTTGGGTCGAGGTCACGGGGGCGGGTGGGGGCAGGAGGCCCCAGCCTGATCTGCCCACAGGCTGGCTGGGGCCAAGCACCTCTGAGCAAGAAGATTGAGGGTCCCTGTTCATGTGCTTTCGGTTTTCAGAGGGGTCATCGACAATCACCGTCCCAGGCCCGCCCGGGCCTCCTGGAGCCATGGGACCACCAGGACCTCCAGGTGCCCCAGGTCAGTCGTTTTCTTGCTTTACTCTGAGGTTGCATTGAAGGATAGCAGCTCAAATCCTGAACCCTAAGAAGAGTAGGAAGCCCCCTCTGGCCCAGCCTAGTGAGTGCCCATCACACCCTAGCAGGTACCCCCACGCACCCGCAGGCCTTGCTTCACCAGGCCCCCACACACCCGTGGCGGTTTGGGCAGGGCCAGGACTCCCTCGGCTGGGAAGCAGCAGAGGCGCAACTTGGCCCGCGTCCTTCCGCCTCTGGAGCTTGTGTGGGACTTCGATTTGTTGCCTTTTGGAAAACAATTGGATAAAATGCATTAAGGGCAACAAAAATGCTAGGAATCTGGAGAAACCCTCTCCACATTGTCCAGCCATAGTACGGTCACTGCGCAACAACAAAGCCTTCGAGCCGTTATTGAGAAGCGCGTGTCCTCTGAGGCTGCACCTGTGTTTTTACAAGATGAGAAAAGATGCTGTAAGAAAAAAAAATGCTTACAAGTTAAGGGACTATAGATGATACTTTTTTCTATTTTTCCAAAATACCTGTGATTGAGTTATCTATTTTTTATAAAGCGTTTTTTTGTGTGTTTGTTTTTAATTAAATAATCTCTACACCCAATGTGGGGCTGGAACTCATGACCCTGAGATCAAGAGTCACATGCTTTCCCGACTGAGCCAGCCAGGCGCCCCTAGCTATTTATTTATTTATTTTTTTTAGATTTTATTTATTTATCTGACAGACATTACAAGCAGGCAGGTGGGGGGGAAGCAAGCTCCCTGCTGAGCAGAGAGCCCGATGGGGGGCTCAATCCCAGGACCCTGAGATCATAACCTGAGCCGAAGGCAGAGGCTTAACCCACTGAGCCATCCAGGCGTTCCCCCCCCACCCGCTATTTTTTAATTTAAAAAATGTTACATGTAAGTGATGTAGATGATTTAATAGAACGTATAGATCAGCCTTCTGATACGCTCCCTCCCGTGAGAGGAGGATACTGAGAGCGCTGCAAAGTCCCTAACCACGGTGGGGTGGGGGAGGGTGGGCAGAGAGGGCAGTCCTGCCTGTCGCAGAGCCCTGGGTTCAGGAAAGGAACTCTCACAGGATGGACCACAGAGCTGGTCTCAAATTGCTTATTGCTCTCAAGGAAGCAAGCTCACCTTTTTGGGCCACTGTACTGTGCTGGGGAGGAAGCTACGTGTCTCCCCAGGAACTTGCCCTTTCTTCAGTTCTTTCTAGAACTGTAACCCTAGAGGTGTGGTAAAGCCTTTTCTTCCCGACTTCATCTCTAGGTCCTGTGGGCCCAGCTGGTCTCCCTGGACAGCAAGGTATGTCAGTCCCACAAGAACATAGGACTGTGGGCTCAGTGGGGAAGGCTTCCTTCCCAGGCTGGACTTGGGACCCCATCTTTAAGTGAGGTGACAGACCTGCATTTGGGGAAGGGAGGTGAGGGGGTGACCTGGTGCTTCCCTAAGGGCCTCGCTGGGCCTCAACTGCAAGGGGAAACCCTGCTCTTCTTCCTGTGTTTCTGAGAAGGTAGGGGTCTTCCAGACAGGGAACCAAGGCTCTGTGGCCCCCAGTCAGGGTCAAGCTTGGTTATTTCATAGATGTCACGCCTCTTGTGACCAGACCCGATCACTGTGCCACTGTTAAGTGATTTATCCAAACACCAAAAAACGGATTTAGGAAAAGGTGGTCCAGTTGCTCCGCGGCTGTTGAGGCTGCAAACAGGAATGTTCCCAGTGGGCTCTCCGGCCCCGGCCCTCTGGACAGAAAGCAGGGTGGGGTCACTGCAGAGGGTGCTCACGTGACCCTGTATCCTTCACACAGGCCCACGCGGGGAGCGAGGACTTACTGGCGAATCTTTCGTGGGCAGCAGCAGCTCCATTGCTGAGGTCCTCTCCACCCGTGAGTGCCCCCGTATTCTCTGGTGATGAGGTGATGCCGGGACGGGAGCGGGATGGGTGGTGGTGCACTGGGGGCCCAGAGCAGCTGGACCAGTGCGTCATCCTGGGTCCCAGTTGGGACTGGGAATGACAAGTGGCTCTGAAAGGCGATGCTGGCCTCAAAGCAACAGCGGGGCTTTTGTCAGCTCTAGAGGGTGAGTCACTGGGATGGGGCAGCTGTCAGAGGTTCTTGGGATTCTAGGGGAACTGGGGTCACATAGGACTTCTGAAGTGAGCTGGGTGCTAGGAGAATGGCTGGCAGGAGTCTGCATCCCCACTCAGCAGGGACCAGGCTCCATGGGTTCTTGGCCATAGGCCTGGCCTGGGAGGGTGAATTCTTGGTTCTTCTGTTCCCAGAGTCCTTTAAAGAGTCCCTGCAAACATGCACTGGGCCTCCCACTTAGACAGCTGAATAGCAAAGACCATAGCCAAGCCTGGCCCAACAGTCACCGTGTGCTAGACTTGTATCGCGGGACCTCCCCGGGTCTGCACGGGGCTCCTGTGACATAGGTCTTATGCCTCTGGTTTAGAGAAGAGCAAATAGGGCAAAAGAGACTGAGAACTCACCCAAAGCCACCAGCTGGAAGGAGCAGAGCAGGAGCTTGAACTTGGACTGATCCCAAAGCCTCGTACTTAGCTCTCAGGGAGTCTGCCTGTGGCCTTGGCCTGCCTCGCTTGTGAGCGAGGAGCACTTCTAGCAGAGGGGGTCCCAGAGGGCCCTGCGCCATGACTCAGAGCCGGCCTCTGGGGTGTGAGTAGGGCGCGGGGCCCTGGCACTGAATCCTAATGAGGGGTGAGGCCGGCAGAGAACAGCCTTATGAAAGTTTCTGCTCATTTCTGTTTTTGTTCCCTCCACAGAAGGTCTTGATTTACGAGGTCCCCCAGGCCCACCTGGACCACCTGGGCCTCCAGGTGAGCATCTCAGGGGTCATTGGAAGGTGGGGAATTGTGGGGGACATGGCACTCAGGAAGCTAAGATCCTGCTCATAGCATAGGTCAGCTCCCTGAATTCAGCATGGCCTCTTGCTTGTTCTCTTCTGCAGGACCTTCCATTCCAGGCCCACCAGGACCCCGAGGCCCAGCAGGTGAGAGCTAAGCTCCTTGGTGAGAGATGTAAGACCATGGCGCTCAGAGCCCAGGCCTGGCTCTCAGGAAAGAGCTTCCCTGCCACTTTTCCCGGGCAGAGGGATCTTGGTCCATGACTGGGCTTGACAAAGTCTTGGTGGTTCTTTTATCTAGGAGAAGGCCTGCCAGGCCCACCAGGCCCACCAGGATCTCTCCTGACCAATTCAGGTAATGTTACAGAGTCAAGCGTCAAGCCCACCCTCCCCCCCCCCCCATTTTCCACCTCAGCCCTGGCTCCAGGAGTGCTGCGGTCCCAGGCATGTGGTCTTCCTGACCTGCTCACCACGCTTCCTCCTTCGGACCTTCTACCACAGGGTGTTTGCATAAACTCCATAGAGCAGAAGTTCTGCTGGTAGAACAGGAACCCATACCAGCCCAGCCACCCTGAGCGCGCCCACTAACCTATTCGAGGGGAGGGAGCCAGTTCTGCGTTTGGGGAGCTTCTGGGCTGACTGGTTTGTGACTGGGCACCTGGTTTCCGTCCTTGGGAAGACTTGGTCTGATAAGTAGACAGGACACACACGTGAAAGGAGATAAATGTTGACAGTATGACACGGAAACATATGGAAATAACTTCTGAGCAAACGTTAGCCCAGAATTTGTCCCTTGTGGAAAATCCACTCCACCATCTTTCTGTCCAACCATCCTTGTTAGTTTTTTCTCTCATTTACATTTCTACCCAACCTTTGGTTCTCTGTCTGTTTATTTATCCATGCCTCTGACAAGCGCGGAGGGAGCAGCTACAGTGTGCCAGGCTCCGTGTTGGGTGCTGTGGTCACACAAGTACCACCATGCCCGCACTCCAAACTCCTTCTCCTCCACAGAGACCTTCTTCTCAGGGCCCCCTGGCCCCCCGGGACCCCCTGGGCCCAAGGGAGACCAAGGTGAGTCCTGTCTCAGGGCACAGAAGGCTGTGTGCCCCTGCTTACTCAAGGGGGCCAGGAGAGGCAGGACGACCTGGGACATGTGTGTGTCCTCCTGCATCCCCTCAGGGGCTCGGCCAGCGGGAGCGTGGGGTGAGGGTCACAGTGGGTAGAAGCTCCACACGGAAGCCCCGCCTCGGCGGGGGCTGGCCTGCTGGGAGCAGAGGCACGAGGAGCCCCACGCCCCGTGTCTGCTGCAGCACAGAGCCCCAGCCCTGCCCCTACAGGCCCCCTGAAGCCACAGCACCTAGTAGGTATGCATCTCACTCCTGTCTCTCTCCTTCCCTCAGGCCCCCCAGGCCCCCGAGGACACCAAGGTACAGTAGAGCTGGCATCAGACCAAATGTGGGGTGGGGTGGGGAGGGTTGGGATGGCAAAAGCTGATCCCCGGAGAGCCTTGAGCTTCCTGTGAATGCGTTTTGTCCAAATGCGGGTGGACGTGGGGCGTCTGAATGGTTAGGGAGGCGTGCGCACGGTGCGTGTGCCCGGGGCCGCTCTAGGTTGGGGGGCCTTGGGAGGGAGGGTGGGGTGGGGGCTGGGCCTGGGGAGGAGGGAGAGGAGCGCCGCTGCCTGACCCCTCTCCGGTGTGTCCCTCAGGCGAGCAAGGCCTCCCCGGGTTCTCCACCTCCGGTGAGTGCTAAGCCCCCGCCCCCACTGCTGGCTCTGACCGGAGCCCCTCAGCCCTGGCTGACCGCTCTGTGTGTTGTTGGCTTCCAGGTTCCAGTTCCCTTGGACTCAACCTGCAGGGACCACCCGGCCCCCGGGGACCCAAGGGGGACAAAGGTCAGTGAGGGGAACAGCCAAGAAGACAGTCCTCAGCGCAAGAATGCCACCCAAAGTCCTAACAGAAGGGAGCGCTCATGCTAAAGGCGTGGGAGGAAGGCGAGGCTGGAGGGGGAGGGGGAGGGGGACGTGAGGACCACCTCTGCCTGAACGGAGCCTGTGGTGGCACTGCAGAAACGCAGAGACGCGGGACAGCTGTGGAGTCACATGGGGATAAACGAGGTTGGGCTTAACCAGGGCAGGGTTCCTGGAGGAGGGGATGCCAACCGCGCCTCTCGTTTTGGATTCCAGGTGATCCTGGGGTCCCAGGGGCTCCTGGCATTCCTGGTGGTCTCTCTCAAGGTAAGAACCAAAGGTGACCAGAGTTCTTTTCCCCTAATTAAAGCAAGGACACGGATTCACTCATCAGGCCCCTCCCGACCCAGCCACGATTCAGTGTTGATCTAGGCCTCGGTGCTGCCTTTACGGTGGTTCTAAGTTGGTGGGGGTGGGAGGGGAGGACCCTGCCCAGCAAGGTGGCTAACGACGGGCAATGATGGACAGAACGGACACTGGAGCCAGGGGTGCGCAGAGGTGAGGGAGCCTCTGGGGTAGTGAGCAGGTTGCTGAAGGGAGGGTCTGGCCTGGGCAAGCTCAACTCTGAGCCCCTTTCAGACACGGCTGCTCCAGGCACTCCCTTCCTCTCTTTTTGGAGGGACCCTCCTCTTTGCCACCATCCTCTTTCTCCTGCTAAGAGAGATCCTCTGTCCTTGGGCTGTGGAAGCAGTGTCTGGGGCCTTCTCTGACCCTCTGGTGGGCTTTTCTTAGTAGGCTCAGAAGGCTTTCCTTCCTGCAGGGGGATCGTCGTCAAGCACGATGTTCGTGCCAGGCCCCCCAGGCCCCCCAGGCCCCCCAGGGCCTCCAGGCTCCATCAGCAGCTCTGGCCGGGAGATCCAGCAGTACATCTCTGAGTACATGCAGAGTGAGTACCGGGATCTGAGTGTGTGTGTGTGTGTGCACGCGTGTGTGTGTGTGCGCATGCGTCTGCTCTGGCTGGGGCATCTCTGGTGCTTTCTGGAGCCCGGCTATTTCAGGAAGCCTCCAGTCTCCTCCTCCTTATGTAAGTAAACATGGCAGGTCCCACTGCCTGTACCAGTGCAGGGCGGTGGGGGAGGGGAGTGGGTGGGAGCTGGAGGTGGCAAGCAGAGCCAGAGAGGTGTGCTTGCGTGTGCATGAGTGCATGCGTGTGGCAGAGGACAGCAGTGTGTAGGCCAAGCCTAGGTCAGAAATCCACGTGCAGCCAGGACCGCTTGTCCATGCGCTCCCCTAACACCCACCTTCTCACCGCTCCCCACACAGGCTGGTCCGGTCCTCACCCACACACACACACGCTTGTCCACATGTGCACACAGCCACACGCACACTTTCACACAAATGTACACCCCCAGCCTCATCCCTGTACTCCTCATGTATGTGAGGCTGAGAAGCCCAAGAATGTGGGCCCAGAGCTTTGTCAGAGCTTCATCGTCCTCCGTCTTCAAGTAGCACCCGACCCAGCGCAGGGCTTGGCCTGTTTCTCTATCTGTAACCAGGAGTCTAGGCTTCCTGCTGGCCCCGTCTTGGGCCATGTATGTGGTGAGGAGGTGGGAGGGCATCCCTCCAAGTGCTTCAGGTCATCTCTGTGGGGAAGACACGCTCTCTTGGGGCCAGGCTTGACTTTGCTTTCTTTGTTGGCAGGTGACAGCATTCGGGCCTATCTCTCTGGAGTTCAGGGTCCCCCTGGACCACCCGGTCCCCCAGGGCCTGTCACCACCATTGCGGGGGAGACTTTCGACTACTCAGAGCTGGCAAGCCGTGTCGGGAGCTACTTGCAGAGTGAGCCTCGCCCCACCCCTGTAATGACCCCTCCTGCCCTTGGTCACCTTGTTCCAGAGCACCCGCATTTACTTTGCCCTTCTGGATGTGGAGTTCAGTTCTGAATTCTTGGCTCTCGGGCCACTGGGATTGAGCTTCGAGAAGGGGTTGCTCAGGTTAAGAAGAGGCCACACTGCAGAGCCACGCGGAATGAGCCTTTTTGTGATGAACAGACGCGTCCTAAGGGTGTGAAAAGGGAACAAGATTGGCGGGATCCGGCAGGAGTTGGGCTAGAGCGTACTCTGGAAGACAAACTTCATTTCTTACCCAACAAAACAAATACAAAACCAAAACCATCTTTGGTTTTTTTTGCACGCATCCCCACTAGCCCCTCCCGCCCCCGTTGATTCATTTCCGCAAACGGACCGGCGGCTGGCCGTCCTGGCGGGGCTGCAGCGGGGAGACGGGGTGCGTCAGTCCTGCTGAGCGGGAAACACAGTCTCCTTCCCCACAGCCTCGGGGTACAGCATCAGCTCCTCCACCTCTATCTCTTCTGAGGACATCGTGGCTGTGCTGAAACGTGAGTGCCCGCAGCGCGGGCTTGTGGGCGGGGGCTCTGGAGGCACAGCTGGTCCAGGTCTGAGCTGAGCCTGGGGAGGGCTGCAGAGGGAAGAGGTGCCCCTCCTCGGTCCTGGCCCCTTGAGTCCAGGAGATGTCGCCATCCCCAGTGCTAGGTAACCAGCAGGTGCCTTATTGGGTACCTGGAAGCTCCCCTCTGCGGACTGAGACCCCAGAACTCCGGGGCCAGCCTGTGGGGGCGGACCTAGCCATGGCCGCGTGGTGGTGCGGGAGCCCTGTGGCCCGGGGGGGCCCACGCCAGTGCAGCCTCTCCTTGCAGGGGATGACGTGAGGCAGTATCTGCGTCAGTATCTGGTTGGAGATTGGTCCCTCCAGTCTTTGGACTACGCCGAGCTGAGCAGCCGCGTTCTCAGCTACATGTCCAGTGAGTGTCCGCCCTCCAGGCCTGCCCACTGCAGGCAGACGGTCAGCAGGGCCCTGGCAGGGCTGCGCGGGGCGGGGAGGGCACTGAACTTGTCTGCACTGGCCCCTGATGTTCCCCTGCCAGGTGGCACCAAGCCCAGAGGAACTGGGCCGTGTTCAGAGCCACTCCCACCTGTGGCCCCAGAGCAGGTCGCCCGCCGAGCCTGGCCAGGGAAGCCAGGAGTGAGTGGCGGGGCCACTGTCCTGTACGGAGTTCACACACAACTCGCATACACCCACGCAGTGTGAATCTGTCACAACTTGGGGTCTTGTTCCTCAGGCTCTGGAATCAGCATTGGGCTTCCTGGCCCCCCCGGGACCCCCTGGCTTGCCAGGAACATCCTATGAAGAGCTCCTCTCCTTGCTTCAAGGTAAGGCTGGTCAGGAGCCATCTGTCCACGTGGCTTGGGGATGGAAGGCAGAGGCCCTTGGCCCAGACCCCCCACGGACTCTGTCCTCTTCTTTGGTGTCTCAGGGTCTGAATACAGAGGCATCATTGGGCCCCCTGGCCCCCCTGGGCCCCCAGGGATCCCAGGCAACGTGTGGTCCAGCATCAGCGTGGAGGACCTCTCTTCTTACCTGCACAGTAAGGCTCAGGGAGGAGGGCAGCCATAGAGAGTTAAACTGTTGGACCAGTCACCCAGTCCTCTTGAAGCACATACAGGGCTAGGTCCTGGAGAGCAACACCCTTGCTTCTGAGGTGTTTTCAGCTATGACAAGGGGACTGGTTGGGAGAGACCATACTCCCAGGTGCAGCCCTTAGAGAAATCATGAACGGTGTGTGTCGTGAACAGAAGTGTGATCGTGTGGCCAGAGAACAGAGGAGGGGGATGGGATTTGGGGTGAGTGAGGCTCCAAACTGGGAGTGGAAAGGCAGGTCTGAGCAGTGGCTCCAGGGTAATGCCAGGAGCCGGGCCCCCAGTATTCCCTCCTCCCCTTCTTCCTAAGAGATGCTGCACCTCTGAGCACAGGCTGGGAACTCAGCCTCCCCACTGGGCCATCCCTGACCTTTCTCTGGCCTCCCATTCAGCTGCTGGTGTGTCCTCCATCCCTGGCCCTCCAGGCCCTCCTGGTCCTCCGGGTCCTCGAGGGCCTCCAGGGGTCTCGGGAGCTCTGGCAACCTACGCGGCTGAAAACAGCGACAGCTTCCGGAGTGAACTGATCAGCTACCTCACGAGTAGGTGCCCCCTTCCCAGACCTTGCTCCTCCCTGGGAGAGGGCAGCTGGTGCTTGAACAAACCTGGGGGGCCAAATGCGGGGAGAGCCCACATTCTTCCTCGCCAGCACTCCTACTCCAGTGCAAGTGCAAGATTCGCATCCTGCTTTGAGGTCGTGAGATCTTGGGAGAGGCCTCTTAAGTCCCTTCCTCTCCATCCCTAGGCCTAAGCCCCAACTAACACGGCCTCCTTCCTGCAGGCCCGGATGTGCGGAGCTTCATCGTGGGCCCACCGGGCCCTCCAGGACCCCAGGGGCCGCCTGGGGACAGCCGTCTCGTGTCCATGGACGGCTCCTACAGCCGGGGCAGCAGGTCCTCCTCTCACAGCGCGTCGGTCGGTCGGGGCTCCTACAGCTCCTCCATGGGCATAGGAGGATCCAGTGGAGGCTCCCTTGGTGAAGGGGGGGCCTTTGGCCTGGACGTGGGCCTGGACCGAGGCTATGGGGGAGCAGCAGAAGGTGGCATGTACGGCGGTGAAGGTGGACCGTTCGGAGCTGGCTTTGCCGGAGGTCTGGACTACAACGAGCTGGCTGTCCGGGTATCTGAGAGCTTGCAACGTAAGTCCTGACCCGTAGGCCTCGGTGTTGTGGGGAGGGTGGAGGCGGGGAGTCCATGAGCAGCTCAAATTATAGGCTCCAGAAACTCACCCTCTCGTTTTTGGAATGCCTAGGCTGTGGCGACAGCACTGCTCGAATCAGAGGGGCAGGGACTGAATGAGGGCAGGAGGCCCAGACCCAATTCACAGGCAGCCTGGTTCAGGAGCCCCGTCAGGACAGGGCCTGTGCTATGGAGAACAGGGCATGTTGGGGTCTTTGGACTTGCTTCCCCAGCTAACTAGTGGTGGCTCTGAAAAGTCTGTATGACAAGGATGGTTTCTGGTGGGGCTGAGGGAAGGTTGTTCGGTTAAGAAGTCCTCTCTCCCTGTACCTTCTCAGCACAGCTTTGCTATCAGCAAGCCTCTGATTAAAGGCTGTGGCCGCAGAGTCCCGGGCCAGTCCGCAGTGTGGGGGGCGGGGGAGGCCGACAAAAGAGGCCAGCAGGGCTTTTCTCCTTTGCTGCCACCTCGTCTCGTGGGACGCTGGCAATCTGAGGGTTCTCTTTTGTGAGGAGGGGGCCGAGGGGCTCTGCTGCCTGTGCCCACACTCTGGCGCTTCACAGGTCAGGGCCTGCTGCAGGGGATGGCCTACACTGTCCAGGGCCCGCCGGGCCAGCCAGGGCCCCAGGGCCCCCCCGGCATCAGCAAGGTCTTCTCTGCCTACAGCAATGTGACCGAGGACCTCATGGACTTTTTCCGAAGTAAGGGCAGCTCCGGGCGCTTTCCTGACACTCACTTTGCTGCACGGTCTCACATGGGAGAAACCAGTCTCCTGAAAAACCTTGGGCTATTAACACCCGATAGGCTGAAAATCTGATAAACTCTGATTTACTTTGTTTTCTTTGGGTCCCAACTACCACTCCCTTCCTGTGCTTCTCTGAACAAATCCCTTTACCTCTCAAGCTCTAGAGTGACCGCTTGTCTGAGGCCAGTCTTCTCCCCCTGCAGCTTATGGAGCCATTCCAGGCCCCCCTGGGCAGAAAGGAGAGGTGGGCACCCAAGGACCCAAAGGTAAGTGGTGGCAGGGAAACAGCCACCAGGATCCCCCTCTTGCTGGGAAGCCACCTCCTTGCCAGTGCTGTCTAGGAACCTATGTGTGTGGCCTCTCCAGGCCCCAAGCCCTCCCTTGACTAAGCACAGCCCTCTCTGTACTCCCAGGTGAGAGGGGCCCCGCAGGACCACCAGGTCGGCCTGGGCCACCAGGGCCTCGAGGGCACAAGGGAGAAAAAGGAGACAAAGGTAAGCCTTGCCTGAGTTTCTGCAGTGCTGGGAGGCTGCTGCTCAGAGCAGGCGGCGGTCTGTTCCAGAGCAAGTCTGAAAAGTTAAGGCAAATGCCAATTACTAAAGGCAGATGCTGCCATCAGCACCATTTGCATAACAATGAAATGAACAGCCAGGGAGAAAGGAAAGAGACTGCCGATTCAGGCAGAAAGGAGCAGGAAAAGAGAACAGCTTAACCACTTGGTGATGAAATAGGGTAAACAATTTAAATACACCAAGTCTTACAAAAGAGTTCATCTTTCAAGCCTGTTTTGCAGTTGTCACAGTTGCTATGTAATTGCCCAAGCTGAAGGCCCATAGGCCACAAGATATTTAACTTCCTCCTCCTCTTCTAACTTCCAGGTGACCAAGTCTATGTGGGGCGGAGGAAGAGAAGCGTCGCCATCAAGCCATGAGCTTGGAAGAGCAGCCGCTGGCTCCATTTCCTGCAGTGGCTTATGGCGTTCGGGTCAGCATCTGTCGGAGAGCGGAAGCTGGAGGCTCCCTTCCTACTACAACAGCACAGCCAGACAGTTAAATAGAATACCAGTTTTAGTCTGGAACATTCTCTGTATAGACATATCATCCAGTGGAAACCTGAACCGTTCCACAGCATGCCGCTACAGCAGCCGCAGCTGCAGAGCTCAAGCCTGGCTGCTCTGCTCGGGTGACTTGAGCGCTGGGCTGCTTTAGCTTTTAGTTCTAGCTGCAGCCCAGGGAAGCCCAGCACCTAGAAGTAGGCTTAGGAGTCCTTGAGCTTTGCCTAAGAATGAGCCAGAGAAGGGAAGACAGGGATGCGGTGTGTTCTGGTTATCACTGCGAGGCTGTGCGGTCTGCTCCTTCCTCCCCGTTTGTTCTGCATTCTCTAGTCATAGAAAGGAGTTGGCTAAGAAACAATTCTTACAACTGAAAAAATTAAGAAATTCACTTCCCCTGAAGTGGTGACAGGGTTTCTAATAGTCATTTCTCACCACATATCCTATTCCCACTTGCTTAGAAAGTCTGATTGTAGGTATGGTCTGTTTCTACAGGGGCATGCTAGCATTTAGAGAGGTGTTCTATTGAACTAGATAGACCACAGCAAGGGGGGAGGGGGGAAAGGCAGTGAAGAAGGAAAGAAAATAGAAAACGATGTTGGGAAATGGCACAGGGGACTGGGCAGAGTTGGTTTTTAAGCACTTTTCAGTATCTAAAACATGTTTGTGGTCTATTAGATGAAAAGTCATTTCAATTGCAAAAAAATTTCCTATTAAATGTTTCTTAATATTATGTTTAGTGTGATCCATCTAACCAAAGTGAGAGGAAGAAATAGAATGAAAAAGAGAAGGGGAGGGAGACAAAATAGGAAAGAGAAATGGGGGATGCAGGTGGAGACAGAAATAGAGGCAGGACAGAAGGAAAGAAAGACAAGGAGGAGACAGAAGGGAATGAAAAAAGGAATAAAATGGAAAAAAAGGAAAGAGGTAAAAGAGAAAAGGAAAATGAGGAAGAGAGAGGCAAAGGTGGGAAAGGGAGAGGGAGACAAGGAAAGAATAAAAAATGAAGACAAGGAGTAAGAATGAAAAAGAGGGAAAGAAAACCGAAGGGCAAGAAAGGGACAGATTAAGGGGAAAAAAAAAGTTTGTGGTCAGCCATATACTACTATGAACTCTTCATACTACCATAGAAGAAAACAAAACTCTTTGTGTTCGGAACACAGATTTTGGCATTTGTTTAGTCACCAAGATTTTAAAGGGAGACCTTGATCAACTACTAACTCACTCTGGACGATTACAAAGCATCTGAAGGTTCTTCCTGAACATACACTATTTGAAATAAACACATATCCAACAGATGGGCCACAAGATTATCTGCAATTATGGAGTGATTTACCCTGGAACAAAAGACTTTTGATTGTAGGGTGCACATAACAATGTATGTTTGACCAACGACCAAAACTCCCTAAAAGAAAAATGCACAAATATCAAAAGCCCCATAGAAATCCACAGTAAAATCACTCAACCTCAGAGAAGGCTACACTGGGCCAACTTGTGAAATGTGAACAGCGGTAACTCTCCACTTCTGGATCATTAAAAAATGGGACTAAAATGAATCGGCTTCTCTGGGTCTACCTTCTACACGTCTGGATAGTTTACTTTCCATGTGGTCTCTTCCAAGTACCTCACATATTATCCTGGGGAAAAAACATACCATTTAGTTGTGCATTGAAAACTGCTAGCAGCAACACCTGGTGAGGCACCAAACATTCTGTGTGGTCCGCTGGCCAGCTTGACCACAACCTGACCACTACCTGCTACGAATCAGCATGGGAATTCTACAAAATAAGTTCGTAAGACCTTCAGAATTTCAAACTTTTCACCATGTGAAGTTCTTGGGTATAAATGAATGACTGCATCACACCTTTTTTAACTGTTTAAAGGCTGAATCAAGTTATTTTTGTAATAGTAGCTTTGGGGGATCAAGTATTAGATCCCCATTAATTGGTTCTTACCTTTATATTAATCATACGTGAGCACAGTGGTCCTTAGTTACGTCG